CAAACCTCCTTGGGAAAAGGGGTACATAACCGGTACCTCCTCCACCAGGTGCCGCGTCCCTGTGGCTCCTGAGTCAGTGCCAGCTTCAGTGTCCCCCAAAAATGGGGTCACCCAGGTGCTGGGTGGCTTACGCTTTCCCTCAGGTGGGCCTCAGTGAGAATTCCTCTCTAATGTAACAGGGGGAAGGTTAACTGGCCACCTAGGACCGTATGCAGCAGTGGTGTGGAGTACAGTGTCCTGAGGTCCAGCTCAGTTAGGGCCAGCTCCCTGGAGGAAGGACTCAGGAGGACGGTTCTCAGATGAGCCGTGTCTGAGAAGAGCAGCCTTGGCCTTCGTCAGGAAGGAGAGGAACGTGGGGTCCCTTAAGTAATTTGGGGTTCCAAATAGCTGATCCTTAGCTCTGCCGCTGAGACACTGGAGACACTATTAGGGGTTGGGAATTTTAGTGACTGGTGTGAAGGAGATTGAAGCAAACACTTGCTTATGGTGTCGCAGATGGGAGGAAATCAAACAAACCTCCAACCTGTTTAGCCAACTCATGGGAAATGCTTGCACTTTCCTGTCTTCGTCTCCTCCACGTGAAGCGTTGGTTGTTGAAGACTAGCCTTTGGGGCTGTCTACATGAAGGCTCATGGAAGAGCACCCCTCTTCACTCTTCAGTGTGCACCCTCCACTAAGCAACACATCCAAGGTGTCTAGGTATATTGTTGGACCTTGCCCCCCTCCGTAAATAAAACATTTTCTCTATTGTGTATACAGTGTTCTTCCTACATGTATGCTTGCACGCCAAAAGAGGGCTCCAGATCTCATTACAGATGGTTATGAGCCACCATGTGGTTGCTGGGAATTGAACTCAGGACTTCTGGAAGAGTAGTTAATGGTCTTAACCTCCCAGCCATCTCTCCAGCCCCCGAATTGTACTTTTTAAAAAGTCAGTGTTATTGTCTCCATCTAAGGTATGCAGCATGTTATTATGGGATACATATAAAAAGCTACTACAACAAGACAAATTAATGCAGCATCATTTCATATAGTTGCCTTAACTTCTTTCTTTGTTTTCAAGGAAACAGCAGCAAAAAAAAAAAATCTATTTACTTACTATGAATCCCAAATGCAGTCCAGTTTGGTTATCTGTACTCCTGGTGCTACAGCAGAGAAATCTAATTTTTGAGCACCTGGCTGATATGCGCATATTTGTGTGTGTGCATGCATGTATGTATAAGTGGGCACACACACACACTCATGTAAGCACTCCTTTTGGAACGAAAGTTTTGAAGTGTGGTCTTGAGCTGGGAGAGCTTCTAAAGCTAGGCCATTGTCATAATGGCACTAGCATAATGGTAGGCTGCGACTGGCCTTTTCTGTCTGTGATGACATTTGTAGTAACAATAGTAGAGGAAATGGCTGACACCTCAGGACAATGCTCATTGTAGTCCTAATCTCTGTGCTATCACAGTTATATGAGTCTGCTTTTTGTTTTAAAATGTCTGATGGAAAGTTAAAAACTTTATTAGTTTTATTTTTAGGTCTCATTCTTTTAAAAAATATTTAATCATACAGGTACGTGCAAACAGGCATGCGTGTGTGTGTGCATGCGCGCACGCATGTCGCATTATGTGCAGTGTTGTTGGAGGCCAGAAAAGCTATCAAATCCCCTGAAGCCAAAGTGAGCCGCCCCATGTAGGTACTGGGAAAGTGTGTCCTCTGGAAGCGCAGCCATTGCCCCAGTCTCCAGACCCCAGTTCTTTTTTTGTTTTTTGTTTTGTTTTGTTGTTGTTGTTGTTTTGTTTTGTTTTGTTTGTTTCTCTGTGACTTTGGAGACTGTCCTGGAACTCGATCTGTAGATCAGGCTTGGCCTCGAACTCACAGATATCCGCCTGCCTCTGCCTCCCAAGTACCGGGATTAAAGGTGTGCAAAGGCGTGCGCCACCAATGCCTGGCGGCAGACCCGAGTTCTTAAGTAGGCTTTTCATATTTACCGTAACGAGACAGAAAGCCGGTGGCACGTGAGGGGCTCTTTCCATGAGGAGGCCAAGTGCAGCCAGCAGAGCCTCAGGGTCACTGAGGCCCCGCACACCACCCAGCCAGGCTGATTACACGGCCCCTTCCAATAGAGTGAGGTTCAGCCTGAGACCTGGCTGGGAGAGTGAAGTGAGTTTTCACGTACATTTCTAGAAAGAGAGAAATGCTGCAGCTTCCAAGGCTAAGGGCGTATTGTAGCCAAGGAGGTAAAAAGGGCAAATATTCTAGATATGATCCTAAGCAAAATTGTGAAACAGAGACTTGTGGCCTAAAACATTTTATTGTCACAGCACTGCTTTAAAAAAAAAAGCTGAAATCACAAGTCATGACATTATGGTCTTGGCATTTGACAGATATTTTCCTGAAAATGAATGCTATCCAAGGAAAATATTTGATCCTGTTAGCTGACAATGATGGGGGTGGGGGGTGGGAGAAAAAACAAAAACTTGATCTTTCAAGTGAAAATTACGAATTTTGAAAACTTGTGCCTTTCACCATGAATTCGATAGTCTTTGATACTTAATAACTTCCCAGTGAGGTCAGTGGAGATGTTTACAAACAAATGTAGGGTGTGTGTGTGTGTGTGTGTGTGTGTGTGTGTGTGTGTGTGTGTATTGAGTCAAAATTTGGGAGATCTGCAAAATTCATTAGCCAGTGCCTTCCAGAGTTGTTGATCACAGAATCACACGTGATAAAGGACACTCAAAGCATAAGACACTTAACTTTTTGTTCCATACCTTTACCTAACCTATACAAAAACACCACCAGCTAGCCTGTCATGAGTTCAAGGCCTGCCAGGGGTGCAAAGTGAGCCTATCTAAAATGGGAAGAGGAGGGGAAATACCTCTGACGTGTTTTCACTTTGTTGTATTTCTAAGACAGGGTCTCCCTTAGGTGTCCAGGCTGGCTATGAGACTGTGGTCATCCTCCTGTTTCAGCTTCCTGACATCTGAAATCAGAGCAGATATCATCTGTAATTGTAATGTCTGTAATTTCTTGGGGATCTGTTAAAGTAGCCTTCCCCTTAATACTTACATATCTATGAGTCTGGCCTTTCTTCCTTCATTTCAAACAATACATATCGCACAATCCATGGAATGCCATAGACTTGAATTCAGCTGAATCCTACTAAAAGATCCATGAAACTAGAATGATGTTATCGCACTAAATCTTTGCTGTGTAAACATGCCTATTTTAAATGTCCTATGTAAATATAGTGGCTCTTAAATTTGTATTTATTTTATTATAGGGTTTTGTGTGTGTGTGTGTGTGTGTGTATGTGTACATGCACCACAGTGCACACTCAGAGGTCAGAGGTCAGTTCTGTAGTATCAGTTTTCTCCTTCCTCCTTTTTATGGGTTCCTGGCATTGAACTCAGGTCTCAGGTCTTTAGCCCCATGCTGCAAGCCTTTAAACCATCCACCAGGCCTGTCATGGACTTTTTCTTTCCTTTTTGAAAGAGTCTCTCTCCATAGCTATGGTTGTCCTGGATGGGCTCTCTCAATTTGATAGACATTTTGAAGTTTCTCAGTTTTAATTTCTAATATCAACAATTAATAGATAAACAAATACTAAGACCAAAATGTCATCAATTTCAACAGTACATACTAGTGTTTTTTGTTTTTGCTTTAATCCGTGCTTTAGCGCATGTGTACGTGTGCAGTGAATTTAAGATATATATGAAACGAGAAGGTGGTGAAGATAAAAGTCAGCATTGTAGTTACCGACTCCCAGGGTTGGGCCACTGGGCCTGTAAGCGCCAAATGTGACGTGAGTGAACCCCAGGCTTTAGTGGGCAGACTGAAGATGTCCCACAGCACCTTGGCCAGCCCGCCTCTGCGCCCGCCTCTGCGCCTGTCTCTGTGCCTGCCCTGAATGCTCTAAGTCATCAACAGTCACAGCAGGGAGAGGAGGGCTTATGGATAGGGTCCATCGTCACAACAGGGTCATCGAGTCCTTGACCTGTAGCACACTTTGTGTCTCCAACGGTGGCCTTGCAGACACTCATGTCCTCGGTCCCGGCGGTGGGCTCACCCTCCCAAGGCAGCAGCTGTCAGTGGGTTTCGGTGCCTTCCTGTGGCAGTCCCTGTGATGAGGCCCACCTGCTCCCCAGGGACTGGCCCTGCCGGCTTTGGAGCCTTTCTGTTCTCTGTAAGCAATTGCCTATCCGTCCAACGTGTTGCTCTTTTGAGGTTTAAGTCTGTGAAGCAGTTGTCCTTTTCAGACCGCATGTCTCACTGAAACCCCATGAGCCCAGGAATCACTAGATCTGGCGTCTCCCCAGTCTTCTCCCATCTGTCCGCATCTGTAGTAAGCCACCCTCCCCAGGTGCACCCCGCTGCCTGCTTCCGAGTGTCTGGTCAGCCCCCCTGGAGGGTGTGAGCAGACACAGTGTACATTTGCTCCAGTGGCATACTAGGGCACTAAGATATTTAGCTGAGTCACTCAGGTTTACACAAGTGGGTGGGAGCATTCCGGATAAGAGATGCTCTTGAGAGGCAGAGCTGTGCTCAAGGATCCAGGGGCTGACCAGCCAGGGCCTCCGTTTCCTTACTGTCTGAGCGGGCACAGGGCTTCAACCTAGAAGTCGTCATCAGTGCTAGAAAGGGCTGCATGTTTGAGTACCCTGAGCTGCCTCCTCTCAACTTTGCTCCTTTGGAGTTCTGCTTTCAAGCCTGAGGCGAGTTTTTAATGTCTGTGTGCACTTAGGATCACCACGTATAAAATGCTACAACTTCCTGAGACCTGCATTAGGCTGGAAAGAATGACAGGCCGGGGCTGAGCTCATGGTGGTTCTCTCTCATGAGATGAATCTGGTTTCACCCTGGCTTCCTTGTGTGTTGGGCGTACTGTCTGGGAATTGGGGGCAGCCCACTAACGTAAATAAAGAGAGGGAAATAATGTTGGCTACGTTTCTCTCAGCGTTAGTGTGCATTGTTCTAACTGTCTCACATGTATCCCTCTGTTCTCTCTTCAGGGATCCTTATCTTCTGGACCCGACTCTGGAATATGTGAAGGTAGGAAAGCGGGCTTGGCGTGGACTTACCACTCTGGGTAGCGGTGCTGCCAACTGTGCCTGCAGCATGGCTGTGTGGAGAGCTGGCTGGCTCGCCTGAAGCTTGGCTCTCATTGGCCTTAGGTGAGCTTGGCCAGGCTCTCTAGCATTCTGTTAAGTCTATGGCCTTTCACCCATGTGACCCAGATATGTTTCAGAATTTGTAGTCATGGGTTAGTTTTTGCTTTTGTTTTGTAAGTTCTAGCTTATACTCAGTAGTACCTCCATGGAGGTCTGGAGTCGGCACCATATAATCAAAGTCATTATTGTGGCACTGACATACAATATTCACTTTGGATAAACAGCTAACAGAGGATTTTATGTGTCCAGATCACATTTTGCCACCCAGTGAAGTCATTCTGTTCTGTTGTTGAGTGAACTCTTTTTTTTTTCAGATTTGGGGGGGCCTGGGCATAGGAGAGGCGTTGTGGGTAGAGCTTTATCTTGGGTGGGAGGATGAAGACCCTGGGGTTTTATAAGAGTTGTCTTTTCCGTTTCAATAATCCCCACCCCTCAGTAACTAGCTTGGGGCCACGCGGTAACCCTGCCTCTCAGTGGGGCTCACGCTCAAGGCTGCTTAGCTGCGCAGTCCTTCTCAACTGTCTTCTCTTCTTCCCCCTGCCCTCTCCCCACTTCAGGTGTATTTTGCTTTTAAGCCATAATTAAGTCAGGCACTTCCTACAGAAGGGAGGCATGGTCACATTTGGATTTGTGACAATGGCTCTTGCCGTTGGAATCAATGCATGAGTTAGGTTGTACGATCTCTTCCTGAGGACCCATGGCCGGTCTTCTCTGGTCCATGTTCAGAGCGTACAGCCTGTGGCTCCTATAGCGGGCCTTCCCTCCTTTTGACCAGAGAGGGTAGCCGGGAGCCGAGACAGTTCGTGTGGGACAGCGGTGGAGTGTGTGGCAATGGAGGTGGGAATTGCTTCTTCCCCTTTTCATTTTTTCTCTTCGTGGGGGCTCTCTGTGTATCCTTGGCCTCCTGGAACTCGCTCTGTAGACCACGCTGGCCTCCAACTCACAGTGATCCTCCTCCTTCTGCCTCCTGAGTGCTGGGATTAAAGGCATGCACCACCATCGCCGCCTTCCCTTTCTTTAATTCTGAGTAATGTGTGAACTATCGGTACGGTGGCAAGTGTGAGCCGCAGCCAGCAGGGTCTGAGGCTTAGAAATGGGGTGTCTGCACCCCTCCTGCGTGCATCACATGTATCTTCATACGGATCGGGCACCCCTAAGCATCGATAGTGCCCCCACAGAGCGTGTTTTGACTTGACTGGAGCAAGAAGACCGTGTGAGCTAGAACGATGCGGCTCAGAGGTTGGCTGTCTCCCACCAGAGGCTCAGACCATCTGTGTTCCCCAAGTGTGACCCCGATCCTTGCTCCAGGAACTCCTTCCCCTCTTTCACAAAGCTCTGAACCTCTTCTCTAAGAATCCCGTGGTGAATCTGCTAACTATTGGCCATTTTGGAATGGTCTGTTTCGGTGCAGTAGCCCTCACGTCTCTGTGGTTTTACCTACCTACAACCAACCGTGAACCAACAATCCTAAATCAGAAATTACACACGTAAGCGGTTCGTTCGCTTTCAATTGTGCATGTTCCTGAGTAGCCCCTTGAAGTCTCAGTGTCCTGCTCATCCTTTTGGTGTATCTGCACTGCAAATGCTGCTGCTCCATCATCGCACAGGAGTCGACTGGTTGTCACAGCATTGTAGGGCTTGTGCTCAAGTCACCCTCATTTTACCTACAGGTTCCAGAGCACAGGCGAGGCATGGGAGGCAGCGCTGGTGGTGTGTCAATGTGAAAGGATGCGTTGGCTGTTTGCAAAGTGTGGCAGCCCTGCAGGGCACATAGGATAAGACATGACATAGCATCTAGAGACTGTTATTATCTGTGGCTTCAGTCATCCACTGAGGGGCTTGGGATAGGTAAGGGAAGAACTATTGTATTACCTAAGTTATTGTAACTTTTTCATAAATGTCAGTCATAGTTGGACGGTGTTATGATAAAGCACATAGGGAAACAGCCTTTCCTACAGTCAAATGTCGCTGCTTCTCTCCACCTCTCAATGAGACTGGAATGCAGGCATCTAGTGGCAGCTGCCACGGTGTAGTTACTGACTTGGCTAGTACTGAACAGTTCTGGAATTTTCCTCTTCGTATCTGGCATACCTGATGCTAGATAAAACCAACTTCTTTTTATTAATAAAAGTAAATATCGTTCAGAGGTAATTTCCCTGAACATAGCTGTGGTAGACTTTGTGCCCACCTCCTTCCTGCCTGGTCTTGTCATATGCCTAGCCCCGTGAAGACATATTTACTCTGTGTCCAGTTTCTTAGACATGTCAGGGGATTGCTTAGAAAATTTGATGCTAAAGCCATTGGTAATAGCTCAATGCATTGTCCTTCCAACGGAAGCCGAGTCACATGTCCCTTGGGTCTGCCCCACCCAGGGGAGTTTGTTCCACACCCAAGTTTTAATTAATGGTGTGACCTTGATGGCCCACCCCAACATCTACCAAATCCACCGAACTGTTGGAGCATGTGAAGGGGACGAACCTACATATCCAAAATGGCAGGATCTCCTTGACACGCAACAAGAGGCTATCCAAGAGGAGCCCAGTGAGGGCCTGTTACCGGCGGTGTTGCAGAAACCAGAGGCCTGGAGCCTGGCATTCTAGGCAATGAACACTTACAAGCAAAGATGAATGGATTAAAGTTTAACTGTGTCTCAGCTGACCACACTACAGCTTCCGTGACAAGATTCTCTACTTTTTTTTGGTTTGGTTTTTGATTTTTCTTTTAAATTTGGTTTTGTTTTGGGGGAGGTTGAAGGGCAGAGGGAGGATGTGAGGGGACAGGGAGGTAAGTGAGATCAGAATACATGATGTGAAATCTACAAAGAATCAATAAAAGTTAAAAAAATAAACCCAGTGTGACCTTGAACTTACCACTTTCTCGAAGAGTTCTGTCTTCCCATAAATAGGAAGGCTGGGAAGGACCTTGTTCTTCTAAATTTAACATTGTAGGGATTTTTATGTCTATGAGAGACCAGAGGGAAAGACACTTTTTTTTAAAGCAAGTGGTAGGAGTTCTTACATTGTCACTGTGGTTTAGTTTTATTGTTGTTTGGGACAGATTATGTAGCTGAGACTAGCCACAAACTCGTTATGTAGCCCAGGTTGGCTAGCTTGGAATTTGAAATCCCCTTGCCTCAGCCTCCTGAGAGCACATGCTGTAGACGTGTGACCTCCTGCCAGCTACGCTAGCACTCTTGGCTAGAGAGTTGCCATGTTGTTTGGACCATGAGAAGCGCTTGGGGTTGTACCTCAGACACTAGGACCAAAGGCATAATGGACAATGATCACTTACTGCTTCTGTTCCCTCTGAGGACTGCAGATAGACACCTATATTTGCTTTGTGATCCATTATGCTGCAGTTTTTAAAAAGCCACTCCTGCCAGTCCTAGAGGAGTTATATTCTATTTATTTATTTTTGTGTGTGCACACACACGTGTGAAAATCAGAATAGCTTGTAGGAGTCAGTTTTCTGCTTACGTGGGTCCTGCGGATGGAACTCAGGATGTCGGGTTGGCCGCAATCACCTTCGCCGGCTGAGCCATTTGGATGGCTCTGTTTCACTTTTGTAAACCCTTTATAAACTCACTCTGACTCTCTTGTCACTCTTTGCATTGATTTCTGGGCCTACCTCAGTTGCCTGTCTCCTTTCATCAAATTCCATAGGTGAATATTATCTCCCGTCTCCTTTGCTAAGTTCATCTTCCTTCTTACAATTAATTTTAATACATAATTACAAGACTTCCTTTTCTATTCTTTTTCCAACCCCTCCCTTCCCTCTCCCAACTCCCTCTCAGACTGATGGCCTCTTTTTGATTATTGTTGCTAAACACACACATATGCATAAATTGATAAATACTGGGTTTATTTAGTATATGGTTTCAGGGCTGACCACTTGGTGTTGGACAGCCAGTTAGGACGCTCATCTCTGGGAGAGCCTAATTCTCCCTCTCTCAGCAGGCATTAGTGGCCTGTAGTTCCATGTTGAGGCATGGGACCCCCGAGATTTCCCCCTTCTGCATTAATGTGTCTATTGATATCACTATTGCTTGGGTCAGGGTTAGGCAGCTATGTTGTGGGATTATCACGGAGAGTTCCTGTCATTTCTAGCAGACAATCTCACAGTTGTCTGGCCTTCCTGGTTCTCCGGCTCTTACAAGCTTTCCATCCCCTCTTCCGAGATGTTCCCTGAGTTTTAGATGCAAGCTCGTCTTCCTTCTGCTAAAGACCCCCTTTAGCTTCTTCGCACGGAGGGTCCGCTGTTACTTTAGTGAAGTTATTTTCTGGGCATGTTTTAAAGTAGAGGAGGGTTGTGATTGGCAGGGGCATGGCCAGGTGATTTTCTTCTAGGAAAAAAAAGCCTATTATAGATTTTCCATCTTGAAATAAATTGCTTTTAAGAAAGATAGATTAGAAAGCCTGGTGGAACAGAAACTGTGGACTGCCCTGCAAGTTAGGAGGGAAGAGACAAATGTCCTCTGGCAAGTGTCCTCCGGTGAGCGGCATGGGCAGTGTGCCCAGCAGACAAAGACCTGCTTTCCAGGGACCACATGAGGAAGTGTCAGAAGGAGATGCAGCCTTTGTTCCCGGCTGGGTTTCCTAGTCATCGGCCTTGGCGGATTCTTGTTGCTCACTTGTGAGCATTAGTAAAACTTGCAGTCCCCAAGCCTGCTATGCAGGTTAGACTAAAGGTCGCAACACTGGAGCTATTGTGCTGAGTGGGGACCAGAGCCCTCCATTTCTTCCTCTGGAGCCGAGAGGAGTCCAAGAGGCTTAGAAAGCCATCCTTTGTGGGGCTAAAGCTTGTTCCCAGAGGGTCTGCTAAGCCTATAGACATTAGTCTGCCAGGGGCTCAGATCTCTGTGAGGTCATTTCCCCGAAGCCA